AGGTCAGTGTGTGATGTACAACTTGCCAGCCTGTAGCTGTGCAGTGAGTTGGGGCTCAGCCCTGTCCCCATGCTGGAACACAAACCCACCTGTGGAATGTGGAATGATGTGCTGGAAAGGAGCCCAGGATGAGACCTTTCTCCTTTAGTGAGGAAACACAGCTGATCATTTGGTTGCTGTAGAAGAAGAGAGATGGGGTTCTTTGGTTATCACTGCGTGCTGCATATTCCACCAGCAGCCCTCTGCTTTTACTAATGTGGTGCACAACGTGCCTGATCCTCCCTCAGTTGTGAGCCTGGTGGAAGCATGTCCTGTTTTCCATTTGTTTATTAATTTATCATCTTGTTTTTAGCCTCTGCAAAGCTTGATATTGGTATAGAGCCTGGGAAACGTGCACAGAGCAGGGTAACAGATAGTTGTGATTTGGTTACAAGGCAATAATTTAAGTGGACAGGTTTAGCTGATAACATAAAGCACACGAGAGAAATTGCTTTGGTTTATAAATGTCAGCAGAGCCCCTGTGAGGGAGCTGCTGCCTGGTGCTGCTGCTCCAGCCAATATATTATAAGGAGATATAAACAGATGTCTGAAAAAATCTGGCTGACCAAGATTAAAAGAATGGGGCTATAAATTAAAGTCTTCCTCGGCGTCTCTTTAAGCATCTTTATGGACAGAGTGCATCCAAATGAAGGAGTGCCAGTGCTCAGAGGGACCTCCAGGTGCTTTGGGCTGCAGAGGCAGCACCCAGGAGTGGGGACAGCTTGTGGGGACAGCAGTGTCCGTCAGAGCTGGCATGGGAGACCAAAGCCTGTCCTGGTGCTTCTGCAGCTGATAAAGGGATTAAATCAGGAGCAGGAATAACACCATCCCTGCAGTGTCGCCACAGGATCAGTGTCTCCTGCCTGGAAAATAAATGCTGTCGCTCTGCTTTGACATTTATTCCCAATAAAGACCTTGTCATTTGTGCAGTGACAAGGGTTTTATCCTTTGGGAGTACTTTTCCTGTTGGACACTGTCTTTTTGGCTGTGAGGCAGCTGAGTGACTGAGGGGCAGGTGGGAGGCACGTCCCCAGCAGCGGCATTGGGAGCTCTGCTCACACCCTGGGGCTTTCTCCTGATCCATCATCCCAAGGCAATGCAATAATACCTATTCCAACTGACAGCAGGTTCAGATTGGATATTAGGGAGGAATTCTTCCCTGTGAGGGTGGGCAGACCCTGGCACAGGGTGCCCAGAGCAGCTGTGGCTGCCCCTGGATCCCTGGCAGTGCCCAAGGCCAGGCTGGACATTGGGACAGTGGGAGGTGTCCCTGCCATGGCAGGGGATGGCACTGGATGAGCTTTAAGGTTCCTTTCCACCCAAGCCATTCTGTGATTCTGTGATCTTATTTTTAATTGATTTTAATTTATTTTAGTTATGGTTAAAAAAATCCCAAGAGTGGGATATTTTTTAATTGGTAAGGGTTCCAAACCAATTGTGGGAGCAGGAATTTGCTGCTTCCCTCTCCACAGCTGGAACCCTTCTGGCAGGTTTGTGGAGGGGATTTCACAGCTATTTCTACTCACTGGGTAGTTGATTTAGAGCTGGGAAATTAACTAGAATGGAAACTCTTCTTTCCCTTTATGAGGAGCAAGGGATGAGGTCTGGCAGCTGTAGGATTTGCAGCTCTCAGGGAAGAGGGACGATTCAGTAACACATCTATGCAGTGCCTACCTGTGAATACACATATTTTATTTGTCTGAGGTGTCAAGGAGAAAAAATGTTACGAAATGGCTTAAATGAAAGCGTGGTTTTGTATTTTTTAAATTGAGTTTCATTTCCCAAATGCAACTTAATGCAAACAATAAGTAAAAAATTAATTTCTCTAGGGAAAAAGCTATCAACAGAATGGTTCTGTTTTAGCAGCATGTGAAGCTGTGTAATTGCTTACACATGTATTGCTCCAGTGTGTGCTCCCAGTTGTTGAATAGTATCAAATTATAGAAATCAAAGAGAATCAACTATTTTTAAGGGAAATGTCTAGAAGCTACATACTGAAACATGATTAAAATTCAGTATTTCCAGCTTACTTGTCTAAATCAGCAATTTTAATCACATTATTCAAGCCAACCCACCCTCAAGCACACTTTTGACTTCAAAATACCCCAAACTAAATAAGACAGAAGACCTTCCTTGAGCAGCTGTAACATTTTTATGTGTCAGTGTCAATCTTTTTGTTGAAAACAGAGATGTTTTTCATGGTTTCTTTATTAAAGCAGCGCATTTGTCCTGCTGTGCCATGAACCTGGGCTGCTGTGCTGGGTGGGGAGGGGAAATCTCTGGAGCACCAAGAGCTGCTTAAACACATCAGGGCTGTGAGTTTTGCTCTGGGGTTCGGATGCTCCTGGTTAAATCCCATTTAGTGTGCAAAGGAGGAGCAGGAAGGGTTTGTGCCTTGGCTGATGCAGCCTCGGGGATTTGGCTGTGCTGGGGGTGCAGCTCATGAGCACCAGGCCTGGGTTTGGTTTTGTTTTCTGCTTGCTGATTAGACAGATGAGTAATGCCATGGTTGACTCTCACAATTAAAAGGAAAATGTTCAGAGAAGTTTTATAGTTATGTTTTACCCCCTTGTGTTGTTATCAGGGATGCCCTGGGTTTGGGACATTTGGGAGGGTCACTCGTTCCTGTGGCAGCACCTGAGCCCCACTCAAGGTGTCAGGAAGGGATCTCCACCCCTGGGCAGGGAAGGAGGAGTCGATGGACAGAACTTTGGGGGGGCTAAAGGGTTACAAGATGAAACCTCCCTGGTGTGGGTGAGCACATGGTGGGGAAATCCTCTGCTCCCAGAGCTGTAATCTTTTCTCTATTCCGTCTGCTGTTGTATTTCTGATAAGGTTTTAATAAACCTTTTAAATTTTTTGGAAGTGAGTAGCATTTCTCACACTGAGAACAGAAACAGGAGGGCTGGGCCCCCCAGCCCCCCACCCTTCTGGAGCCTGCTCCTGTGCTTTCCCTTTGGGTGATTCCCTAGATGGGATTCCATCCACCTCCTTCCCCTCCCTGGCAGGCTGCTGTGGCTGGATGCAGCTGGAGCTGTGCTGTGCTCCCTGTTGGGGGCCATTCCCGGCTGTGTGACAGCCCAGAGCTGCCACAGCCACTGCTGGGGCTGTGACCTGGCCTGCCCAGCGCTGGTGGCACGGTCAGGAACGCTTTGGGCTTTGGGGGGAGGCAGCCAGCCGGGCCCTGGCTGTGTCTGCAGAGGAGGGGATCGTCCTCCCGCCTCCCGTTCAGCTCGCGATGGCATTTCATCCTTCAGAGCCTGGCCTGGAAGGGACCTCACAGCTGACCTTGTTCCACCTCCCTGCCGTAGGCAGGGACGTCTCCCACTAGAGCAGGTTAGTATTGGCTGTGTTTTCCTTGCTGGCAGAGCCCTGTCCTGGTGTTGCCCAAGCCAGGGACAGGAGATGTGATGTTGGCCTTTTCATGGAGATCCTACAAACTCCTTTCTGACCAGCACTCCACCGCCAGCAAGGGGCACACATTGGTGAGGGCACCAAATTCCTGCAGAGCCCGATTTCTCAGTGTGGGAGGGTGCTCCCATAGATAGACAGAGATTAAAGGTCCTGTGTATCACAAATTTAAGGAGCAGGAGAAGGTTGGGATCTGTCCATGGAAAACATTCCAAGTGTGGGGGAGGAACATGTAGCCTATCCTCCCTTAAAATGGGGAGATAATCACACCTGTCCTCTCACACATGCATCCAATGCAGCTTTCAGTGGACAGGACTGATGGAGAGAAAGAGAGTCTACCAGAAATACAAACCTTGTTTTAATAGGAAATCCTCCAAGATGGATTTTCCTGCATTTTCTAAAAGCATTTATACCTATTGGATGACTACAGGCTTTGAAATGTTTCTGTCTGAATTGTGACAAACATCCCAGTCTTACACAGGAGGGACCAGGTCCTTTGATCAGGGAAATGTCTCTTTGGTCTTGAATAGGGAGGGATCAATCCAGTTGTTCCCAAGACCAGAGCTTTTTGTCTGTGAGTACATGTATTTATTCTACAAAATAATTACCCTTGCCTTCACTTCCCTTTGGTAGGAGATGCTCCCTGTCTCCTGCAAGCTGTTACTCTATCCCAGGTATCTTTTTGGGTAAAAGGAAGAGAGAAAGGAAAGGTTGAATAAGAAATCCTCCTCAGAAGGGGGAAGATGAGCAGCTTTGGTCTGTCTGTCCATCTGTGAGCAGCTCTGTGGCTGTTCACCTGCATCCTTGCTGTCCTGGGCAGGCAGAATTCCTGCATTAGGAGAAGAAGAAATGCCATCAAGAGGTAGCAACAAAATATTGCCTCCCCTTGACCCCAGTGCTGGGCTGGCCATTGAGATGTGTTTGTGGTGAAAATCACTCTGAATTTCCTATCTTTTCTGCATTTAAAACTGAAGCTTAATGTATTCTGTGTATTTTTGTTGGCAGATAGTAGTGATCATAAATTCCTTTTAATACAATATTTCTACACCAGCACAGCCTTGATGTGCAGTGTACCTGGCTGTACCCTGTGGGATGTTTTGATTTCCCTTTGGCAGCTGCATTTTGTTCTGTCTGCCCCAATCAACAGCAATTCCCCTTTCTCCATGTAGCCTCCAAATCCACTCCTGGTGTGGAGTTTCAGTGCTCTGCTAGGACCTGGGCTAGAAGGGAAGGAATCAGTGTCTGCTGGGCTCAGGGTTCCACCTCCACTGTGGATCAGAGCCAGCCTGGCAGCGGAGGGACACCTTGGGTGGCTCAGGGTGGCAATTCTGGGAGGGAAAAGCAGCACTTCAGGGGTGCTGCTGCATGGGAGGAGGTTAGTGGTAGATATCCCACTCCTCACTGTATGGGATGGGGAGGAGCTGCTCCCAAGGAGGAGCACATGTCTTCAGTTCCCAGTTCCTCCCCAAGCTGGAGCCGTGCAGTGCTCTGAAATAATGTGACCTTTGCTTGCAGGTCAGGCTGTTCCTGCAGGGTCACATGTACGGCTGAACCTGCAGACAGGAAAGAGAGAAGCCAAACTCCCGGACAGAGAATATGGGGAAGGTGACACGAGAGAAGAGAGAAGAAGAAAAAGGTACAGATATACAAGGTTTTGGGTTGGGTGGGCTATGGGATTCATGCCTTTTATTAGAGGCCAGGTTCCCTGGTACACTCAATTCCTGCATCTTCCAGAGACTTCATTGCTGGGTGAGGAGCTCAGCAGTGCTGAAAGCAGAGGCCTGTCCTTTGTGTTCCATTTGGGATGGCAGTGGAAGTGCCCTGAGTACACTTTCAGAGGCTTCTCATGCCACGACATCGAAACAGCTTCCACACAGCCTGTGGAGTTCTGGCAAAGTCTTTGGGTAGTCCTTGATTTGCTGTGTTTGGAGTGTGATGCTTCTCTCTGCGCTTTTTAGGCCGAGACGCTTCCAGGAGTCTGTATTTTGGAATTTATGTGCTGCAATCTAAAAACCTTTCTCCCGTACTGCGGTGATGACATCTTGTACTGCAACATGCAAAATGATTGGAGCTTCTGCTCAATCTAATGTTGCCTTAGCTAGGCTGGCATCATGGTTTAAGGATATCCTAATGGTTGATGCTTCGGCCATTTGTGCAATGGTAGGTTTTGGGGAAAGTGACATGAGGGATGAGAGAAAGAGGAAAAAGAGACATGCAGGTCATTGGGTTAAATAGCCTGTGGAATTTATGCCATTTATTGGAGTCCAGAATCTCTGGAGCACATAATTCCTGCCTCTTCCTAAAATTTCATTGCTGGGTGAGGAGCTCAGCAGTGCTGAAAGCAGAGGCCTGTCCTTTGTGATCCCTTTGGGATGGCAGTGGAAGTGCCCTTAGTGCACAATCAGAGGCACCTTCATGGCTTCTCATGCCATGACACCAAAACTAAATGTGCAAGGTGGCTTCCTAGAATGACATGTAGTCCTTTGAAATATCTGCAGGCAGTGGTCTGAAACTGCTTTGTGAGCCTGCTCCTTGGGATCAGCTGTGAGGGGCTGAGGGCTGGCCGGAGGCCGGTGCTGTGTCCCACTGAGAGCAGCCGCACAGGCTCACGTGCAGAGCAGGCACTGCCAGAGGCTCTGGAGATCTCACCTGCCCTGCAGCCACCATTGTCAAGGTGCTGTAAACATCAGCTGGTGCTGACTTTCCCCTTGGACCCCTTGGTTTAGTCACTATGGGGAATTTCTTTCCTGAAGCCCGTGGGATTTCCCCCTGGCAGCTGTGATGGGGATGCTCGGGGAGTGTGGGGCTTAGGGGGCAGCTGCCCGGGCAGGGGCTGAGCTTGGGCCCTTGTTGGGCCCATGGCCCCCAGCAGCAGCAGCAGCAGCAGTAGCAGCAGCAGCAGCAGCCCTAGGGCCGAAAGCCCCGTGGCCCCTGCCCAGCACAGGCTGCCCTGTCCCTGCAGCTGTCACCCGAATGGGGCCCAAGGGCCAGTGGCCGCTGGCAGCAGCAGGAATGCAGGCAGGGTGAGGATGCCCTGGCTTGGCTTTTGTCTCGGGAACAAAGCGGGCTCAGGGCAGTGCAGAGCAGGCTGGGAAGCAGAGCCCAGGGCCTTTGGAGGCTGCAAGGCTAAAAGATCAGCCCCTGCAGCAGCCCAGATGCAGGTGACCCAGTTGCCAAGGCTGTGGTGGCCTTGAGAGTGTGCAGGTGGATTTTGCATGGCTGTGGCCTGCTGGCGGCTCTGGGCGCAGGAGTGCCTGTGGCTGCAGCAGGAAGGGTGGCTGAAAGTTTGCTGGCTGCTTTGGTGGCATGGCTGCAGGGGCCAGTGCTGTGAGAGCCCCCTGTGTGAGAGCTGGTGAGAGCTGAGCTCTTGGGGACAGCGCTGTGCCGCAGGCCAGGAAGAGCAGCAGTGCCCAGTGGCAGGAGTGGTGTCAGTGGGAGCCCCTGTGCACAGGGACCCCCAGCCCCCGGGTGGCCGTGCCAGCACCCCCAGGGACCTCCAGCCCCGGGAACGTGGAACAAGTGGAACCCACAAGTGTGCATAGGCTGCCTGTGCCCAAAGGAATGGCCAGGAGAAGTCAGGTTTTAAAAAGAAACAGTATTTATTTGCCGAAGATCGGCAAATCTAGGATTTTCAGAACATGTGTCATTATAACAATTGTTATAACAACAACAATGTACAGAAGATATTTACATGGGATCCGATGGGCTAACAATCTTCAAAACGTATTTACAAAAAACTTCCAACGTTGTAAACATATTTACAAGGAACTTCTAAACTTTGAACGTATTTACAAATGCATGGTATCTGTGCCATCTTGAGCCTGAGTCCTGGAAGAAAAGAAGCAGCAGGGCTGGACTCAGCTGGCAGCACTGGGCCCAGCAGGGCTGGCAGCTGGGCCCCCGGGTCTGGGCCGGGGCTGGCAGGGCTGGCGTGGCCCCAGGGAAGCGCAGGGCAGGCCGGGGCTGGTGCTTGTGTCAGCACAATCCAGGCCCCCTGCGGGCACCGTGTCCCTGAGCAGGGCCATCCAGCCCAGCCCCAGCCTGGCGTCAGGGGACCCAGTGTGTGTGTGGGCAGGGCGTGGGAAGCATCTGCCTGTCTAACCTGCGGGGCTGCATCTTCATCCAAGGACCATGGGCTCCTCCTCATCCTTCTCGTCCACTTCCATATCTTCCATGTTATCCTCCTCATCCACCTCCATCTCTTCGTAGTTGTCCTCCTCGTCTACTTCCATGTCCTCAACAGGGGAGGACATGGAAGTAGAGGAGGAGTCCACCTCCATCATCTCTTCCTCATCCATGCCCAGGTCCACTTCCATTTCCTCCACAGTCTCTCTGTCATTCTGCAAGGGGCAGCAAAATCTCCCAGTGGGCTTCCTGTCCCCCACCATCCATTCCCACATGGCTGCAGCCTGCCCAAGCCGGGTGCTCCCTGCCTGGCATCGCACTGTACCTCCATTGGCACAGCAGTGCACATCCTGCTGGGATTGGCGCTCCAGAGCCGGCAGTGGGAAAATCCCAGGCAGCAGCAGCAGCAGGTCTGTGCTGAGGGTCAGAGTGCTGGGTGAGCAGCAACTGACCCTTGGCAGCCGGTGAAGTGTCTGCTGTGCTCGTTTCCAGGTCCTGGATGTTCCACCTGGAGCCCTCTGGGAGCTGTGATGTCACTGAAGTTTCAGGGCCGCTGTGCATTTGTCGATGGGGATGGCAGAATGATCAAATCCTTGAATGGTTTGGCTTGGAAGGGACCCTCAAGATGATCTGATTCCAAGCTGAGCAACCTCCTCGCAGAGCATGTTCCTGTGGCCACTGTCCCACCTGTCCTTGGATGTTGCTGGGGATGGGGCATCCACAGCCTCTCTGCACTGGTCCCTGTGTCAGGGACAAGCCCCCTGAGAGTAAAGAACTTCTTCCCATCATCAAATCTCTTCCACCTCTTGCAGTTTGATCCCATTCCTCCGTGTCCTGTCACTACAGTTCCTGAGAAAGTGTGCTCTCCCACTTCCCTGTGTTTCAGGCTGTTCCTACAGGGTTACACGTGTGACTTAACCTGCAGACAGGAGAGAGACAAGCCAAGTTCCCAGTCAGAAAAAATGCGGAATGTGGCTTGAGAACTGAGAGAATAAGGAAAAAGAAAAGACATGGAAGTCTTTGGGTTGCGTGGGCTGTGGGATTCATGCCTTTTATTAGAGGCCCGGTCCCTGGTGCACTCAGTTCTTGTGTTGCAGCCTGCCCACATCAACCTCTGTGAGGGACCTGCACTTGCAGAGCTGGGAGCCGGCTTGCTTGGATGGCTGATGGATGAGGCAAGAGAGGGATCGTTGTGTGGAAATCCAAATAGTGTGGATTGCGCTGAAGAGGGTCCAGAAATGGAGACAAAATGGGGCTGGGCACACAATATGGGGGTGAACAGCGCAGGATCATTACAGTAAGCCAGGACCAAATTGATACAAGAGAGTTGGTACATTCCGAGGGAGTACATATAAGGAAAATGCAGCAGTTGAACTGGGTGATGCCAGCAAAACGTGCTGCATCACCATGAGCCTGCAAATGCCCATGGGCGACAGCATTGCATTCAGAGCGGTGACTTTTTTTACCTTGGTCACTTTGCCCTGAGGTATTACAGTTCCAGTGGTAGGCCCCTGGGCCCTCACATCTCCCCCTTTTTGCTATGTATACAGAAGGCTTCTGCCATGGACTTTTGGAGGTATTTAGCAAAAAAGGATAAAATAACCAACACAATGAATACAAAAAACAAAACCCACACAACAGTCTTAACTAAAGATGAAAGCCAGCCTCGCAAACCCCTGTGTTTGGAAAGTCCAGTGAGCCAGTCGTTGTTGCCTTCCATCTGGATCTTGTTTCCTTGATCTTTTAGCAGCTGGATGCCCTGGTACTCTGACTCCCTATGTGACAACAGGTAGAAAAAACACATGCCTTGTAGTGCCTGACAGGCATGGCCGTGGACAAGAAAATGTGGCTTGTCTGTGGAAGCGCCCATCTGAAGGCATGCGGCTCAGCGAGGAACATCCAGTTCTGTGCTGCAGCGGCTACAAACGGCAGCATCCTCTGACTTAGGCTAATTTATTATCTGGAGGCTTGGGTGTCCTTAAAGTAAACAGATAAAGAGATCAGAAGATGAAACTTAAGTTGTGTTCCCACTAAACTTTCTCTTCTGTAAGGCAAGGGTGTGAACACAGCTTATTAGAAGAATCATGTATCAATGCTAAAATATAATTTTTACAAATGTTAAGACATAGATCCTGGTTAGTGGTGTCTGAGCTATCTTGGTCTTGGTGTGTGTGGTCAACGCTACGTAGGAGATCTTCTTCTGTCCTTCTCCTTCTTCTTTTCCAGGCAGCTACTGTCTCTCTTAGGCTTTCATTCTGTTCTTCTGATGGTGGCTCTGGTGTTTGCCTCACCGTTTCCAGAAAGAGTTTTTATGTATTTTGCTGGGATTCATCTTAGGAATGTTGCTGTAGAGACAAGGGCATCTTTTCTTTCCCAAGTAATTAATGGAAAAGGGCCCATAATTTGTTTAGATTCAGGGTCTTTGGTCAACACAGGTGGCTGTTTTTTTAATTGGGCTGCAGTTGAATTAGTAAAATGCCTGATGACTGGGGGAGTTGTCTCCATAAATGA